GTCCGGTTTCGGTACAAGCGGTGGAAAGTACAAGGCTTATAATTTAGGTAAAGGTCGAGGTCAGAGCGTGTTTGAGAGTAAGTAGATGATTTTTTTACCACATCCAAGTTCATCACAGGATCTCTTATGATAGTATTTTTTGATTAGTGATCGAGGCAATGAGGAAAGCGAGTGGTTTCAATTACGTTTATGAGATCGTAGGCCGAAGAGCAGGTGACGTACCTGATTTAACGGCGGACCCTTCGTTGGCCAAGAAAGAACTCGGTTTCGATGCACCTGTTTAGTCCTCTTTTTTTGGTTTTATCTAAAACTCTCGATTCTTACTCACTGGGGGCTTTTTTTATTTATTTGATAGCGCGATCTGGAGACGATGTGCCGAGATTTATGGAACTGGCAAAGCAAAAATCCCAAAGGTCAATCTCCTCAACTTTTCTTCCCAAAGTGTTTTACTCACTTCTTTAATCTCACTTTTATACTTTGGTTTTTTACTTTCATGTATAGGATATGCATGAAGATCAAAAAAAAAAAAAAAAAAAAAAAAAAAAAAAAAAAAAAAAAAAAAAAAAAACGCTTAGAAGGACGATTTGATGATGAAATTCGATGGCGAAGTTATAAATATACTTTGTTACATCTTTCTTTTTGCGTTAGATAAGCTCTTGAATACGCTCTTGTTTACATTCATATATATATGATAATTCATGGGGGAAGCATTGGTAAGAAAATGAACTAGGTAGGACTGGTCATCTTACCAAGCAGGAACACCAGGATTTTGATTTACCAAAAAAACAAAAAAACAAAAAAAAAGTCTACACCATATTAATTTTTTGCTTAATAATTTTATATAGACACTTTTTTGCCAATGCTTTTGATACTTTCTTTATTGAAGAATTGATTTTTAAGGAGGTGACCCAAATGAGAAGTAATATGTACAAGTTTTTTTTTTGTTCGGTTGATTTCATCAAGGTTTCAAAAATGTGATTTGCTAAAATGCGGAAAGCAGATAAGAAAGGGCCGTTTCATTTTTTATGATTTAGGTATCAGAGGATTTTAATTTGACTGACTTGCTCAGTTGTCTGATTTTAGGTTTGTGGTCAAAAGCGTTTTGTCTAATTGATGTCTTTATTTGTATATTGGAGTAGGCTCGCCTCAAGGTCCACCCACCTACAGTAGCGTGTAGACCCAGGCGTGGGCCTAGGACGCCTCTACAAACGCGGGATTACTGTACAGAAAGAACCACGGAATGCAGAGCCGAGGCAGTCCTGGTTCGAGATGATGAAATCTCAGTGGGGTTTACTATTTTACGAAAGCATGTAAGATGAAGAATAGTAGTTTACATAAAACTAGTCTTGTCCTTCCTTATATTCCTATTTTTATTTTATTTTAATTTTTTTTTTTTTTGTTGTTGTATTGTTATGGTATTGATAGATAAATAAATAAATAAATAGATAGATAGAAGATTATTGGTTTGGCAAAACGAAAAGAGTTTTCTTTTTCTTTCTCTCTCTGAAGTTTTTTTTTTTTTTTCTGTTGTGGTTTTCTTAACCTTTTTTATCCTTTCCTGATTTGGTTTAAGTGTCTCTATGTTTATATGTTTATATATATATATATATATAACTCTCTCTCTCTATATATATATATATGCCAATTTTAATCATACTATATACATATATAACACTTGTTTTTCTAAAGTAAAGTTT